ATTGCTACTAAGCGGTTTTCTCTGCTGAACGCGGCCATTGTTATTTGCAATGAGTAAAGAATCACAGGAGAGAGCATTTGGTGCTAGCAAGCGGACGGAAGTGCCTATATATAAGTGGACGCTCAAGATGGCCGCTCAGGGACGAATTGCAGCATGACCTTAGAACATATATAAATGGAAGGGGAATGCCTTTGTTTCCCGATAGAAAAACATGTCGGAAGGAAGTAAGAAAGAAAATCATAGTTGCCTCTCTCTTGTGAGTTACTCTGCTCAAAAGTGCGCATGCACGGCCATGTGTGTGTACACAAAAGTATGTATACTACAGATACGATGCTTGTTGTGTAGTTACTCCCAAGAGAGAGGCAACTACGATTTCTTTCTCACTTCCTTCCGACACTTTTCAGCCTGCTATTCCCCTTCCATTTATATATGTTCTAAGGTGAGTCAGTGTCAAAAGGACATCAAGATTTTTCGTCCATTATAATTGCTAAATTGTTGCAATTTACAATTATCGCAAAATGTTGCATGTAATAGCGAGACGAGTACGTTTACAGGTGTGTATTAGAAACAACTGACAATGAATTACATTTTGTTAGAACTGATTAATTTATTCAAATGAGAGTAACCTCTCTGTTTATATAAGCTTCAAAGTGCAAATTGTTATTTTCAGGCAATAACAATTGTTCCTTTACGAACGTACAGTGCAGAGGCTTCGAGTATTAATCAATATGCTGTGAATACTAATGTGCCAGGTCTCAGTGAAAATGTCGTCAAAGTACCAAACACACGTAAGATCAAAGATTGTTATCTGTCACAAAGTATTTGTGTGTGCTTTCATATTGAAAAATTCAACTTTCCAAACTAATATTTATATAGCTGTAGGACCTGGTGCCTCCAAAAATAAGGAGTACAAAAATCCCGAATATTTCTGTTATCATGTGGAGTCATTCGGAGAAGCTGAAGTAGAACTAGCAAAATATAGATTACCAGTACCATCTAATAAGAAACCGTTCCATAGGTAAATAAATCAAGAGAAAAAAAAATTTTACATGTAGCGAAATAAAAATAATTATATAAAATAACGAAAAAATAAGGTATAAAATGAGATGTGGTAATGACAGACGCTATGTACTCAAAATTGTATTATACACTACAAAAAAAAAAAAAAATAGATTTGATATATTACCCATCTATATGATTTACCTATTTCTTTTATTCTTGTAAGAGTACATATAATACCAATTACAAAATATATAGAAGGAGCGGAAAAGAGAGATATTCTTTCTCTATGCAGAGTTTTTAACGCGAATTATCCCTTCGTGAATTAATAGAATAGGAACATCTTCGCGATTCAGCCGGTTGAGAATCACTGATTTATTTACGTAAGATTACGAACTCGTCCGAAGCGTGCGACTCGGCCGGCGTCGTGACGTTATTCACGTGACTACATCCGGGGTCGGAGTCCGGCGACGGTAATCTTCTAATCATTGGCGCCGATTGTTGTGCTACCCTGCTACCTCTTGTCCATTATATTTCTTCATTTCCTCTCCGATTCATAACGCCGTTAACAAATACGGCGCGCCGCGAGTGCTCGGTGCGGCTCATACGTGTCCGTCTGTCTTCGCGTGTCGTTTAACTTTCGCGGATCGGGATCTCGGGCGTGTTCGATTCGACTCGACTCGACTCCTGGACCTCGCATTCAAGGATATAGTGCTTCGAAGGTGCTCCGATATATCCGAATATGTCGTCTGTCGCGCGGAATCGCTTCTTATCAGCGCTCGGCGTCGCACAACGTCTCCTCACCGCCGAACACGCGCACGTCGCGATGCGCGCGTACTCCTCTGGTCATCACGGCAAAGCAGTGTATTGCAGGTGAGATTCTGTATTGCGCGTAAAATCTATGAAATCAAGCGCTGAGAAAAGAAAACCTGCCTGAGAAAAGAAAGCTGGAAAAATTTCTTGATAAAAAAGAAATTTGTATTATTCTTATAAAAATTCTAGAGACTAGCCAATAAATAACTCGTCGCGCAAACAATGTCTTATCGCTAACATTTTTCCTCATTGCATAGTCATTAAAAATTTATTAGGCAAATTATTAAGCTGCTTGTACTGAATTATACTACCAAGCGTATAAGGCTCAATAAAACACATCACGCGATTATTAACAAGATGGCATAATTGCGAAGTGTGGTCCTTTCTTTTATTCTTTCCTTTTTCTTTCTTTTATTTTTTCCCGCTATTTAGGGCCATTTCGACCAAACACCGATCAATTTAATCGTTGATTAATTTACAGAGCGATTAACATAAAAATTTCTAACAATATAATTCCGGTATATAATATAATATAAATTTTAAAATTTTGCTTTTGGTCACCCTGTAAATTAATCAACGATTAAATTAACGAGTTTGATAGAAATTTTTAATGTATATCTCAACAATACACTTGCATGAGAGAGAACAATATTAACAATATTGAACTTTTGAATATCGCTGAGAGCGCATAATAAACAGCTGTGCTATTGATTCCTTGTTTATTTTTTACGACACTTGTATCTCGAATAGTAATATGATCGTCAATACATGTATGAGGATTAACGGGAAACATTTTTAAGTGATTCGTGAAGATCAATTGAGAAAGTTTATTCCACAAGAAATTCCATTAGAATTCGAAATTTCATTGTATATATCGACATGCAATATTCTCGAAAAGATCAAACTAAAAGAATCTCTTAAATTTAATATAAATAAGCGTGTGACACTCACATTGCTAAGCGTCTAAATCGATTTAAATAAATTTCTATTACAACTGAATAAAGAAACCTAAGATACAAATGTATAGATTACAATGTTGAAAATCTAACTTGATTACATTCGATTTAATTTTAATAAACAGCTTTTTTATACTATTGGAATTATATTTTAATAGTATTTTAATTATATTTCAATAGTATCTTAGTACAGTAATCCGATATCTAAAATAGACACAAACTAGACATTTTCATTCGAATGCCTTATATTTAAATATTTGTACATTATTAATTGTCGATTATATACATAATTCAGAAGAAACGCCAAATGTCAGATAAAGCTCGGAATTATGAATGGTTTATTTAAATACAATATGCCTGATCGAAAATATGTAGTAGTATGCTAAATATGGAAAGTGCTGAGTCATTAATAAACTTTCGTGTATATTAAAGATAATAAACCTTTATTTTGTTCGTGTTTTGCGTTTTTTGTATATATGTGTGTGCACATACATACTCATTTTTTTATGGACGCACCTTAGACTTTAAGATAAAGCTGTAAAACTTCATGGCTCGTGGCTCGTAGCAACGATAACGATAACACGTATGTTTTAAAATACCTGACTTATTTTTAGGATATATCTCTTGCGAGGCTCGTCAAAATCGGCAAGCAATACTCTCGACACATTAAAACATACTTCGTCAGATTGATGATACGGCTGTATACTACTCGAGATATTCTCCGCTCGTTTTTTTTTTCAGATGCGACATATACAGGGTTTATTAAATTAAATGCCCCGAAATTAAATATCAAAATTTTGGGAGCGTGTGGAGGAGATCGATAAACTAAGAAAGAAAATTCTTTAGAGATTTGCTCGTTTTTGCTTCGTTTTGAAGAAAATCGCAAAAAAGGAAATAAAAAAATGTTCACCAGAATACTTAAACCAACACTAAAATTATTAGGTTTATCGAAAACCACGAGATAAAAATTGTAGAGCATGAAATTAAGAAAAGAGAATGAATTAAAATTTTTCTGAGGTATAAAATTAGAGGAAATTTGTAAATAAATACATGATAATGTGAGATTATTTGCATGTGTGTGTTTATTTAAATATTTATTACTTAAATAAGTGAAAAAAATGAGATTTTTTCGATTTATTTATTTACACTTATTTATTCATATTGTCCCTTCCTTAATGACAGCAAGAATGTAAACATAAATTAAAGTAGACAGATTATAATAATCTTGCATTGTCGCGTATTTATTTACAATCCTCTAATTTTACTTCAAGAAGATTTTAATTCACTTTCTTTTCTTCATTCCATGCTGTACAACTTTTATCTCATGGTACTTTTCGATAAACTTAATAATTTGAATGTTGTTTTAAGTTTCTCTCATGTTGAAATTTTTTTGGTTTTTTTTTACGATTTTCTTCAAAACGAAGCAAAAACGAGCAAATCTTTAAAGGACTTTTTTTCTTAGTTCATCGATCCCCCACACGCTTCCGAAATTTTGACATTTAATTTTGGGACACCCTGTATAATCCTCTTTTATACGTACTGTAATAATTATGTTATCAGATAGAATGTTTTATAATTGTCGATAAGTAATTTTTAGCATATCATTCCATGCGATACATTTTTATTAAAATGGAAACTATCGTTTCAGGATGTTTTAAAATAGTTGAATGATGAATAAATTCTTTTCTTATTGATAAAGATATTATAGAAGTTGTGATATTTAAGTGTACAGTAGATTTTATCGACAATTCAGCTTAATTACAGTCAACATAACTTTAATATAAAAAATCTTTTTATACTATTGAAATTATTTTTTAATTAAAATATAGAAACATAACACATATAATATCTAAGACTTATTTCCTTATATTATAGCTATATTAATATAGTAGGAACGATCACACATTCACAAAATTTTATCTGATATATTATACTATTGAAATAAATAAATTTTCTCATTTGCCATTAATTCGCATACAATAAAATAGGTTAGTAAAACATACTGAAGATTCTTTTCGGTGCGTGGATTAATAAATAGCTATTTTAGATAATAGATAATTGAAATGTGAAATATAAGCAAATTGAATTATGATTTATTAATGTAAAATTTAAAAAAAACAGAGAGAGAGAGAGAGAGAGAGAATATCCTGTTATAAATTTACATGTTACCAATCTATTCTATATTATCGAACGTATGTGATAGCATGCGAAGAAATGAATCGATTTCAATATATAGCGCGAAAAAAAATTTACGATATTTTTCCTCTAACGTTGTAATTTAACATAGCTACAATAAAGAAATAATTATCTTTAAATGGCACACGTGGATCTTTAGAAATAGATTTGCTACTTATAATTTGCATTAGTAAAAAAATAAAACTAAATATTAGCATTAGACCATGCATTTGTCGATGAGATGTCTTCAAATCTCAAACTTCTCATAAAGGATATAGATACCGATCGCGGATACAAATTCAAGTATATGATTTGAGGATTAATTCTCCAGAATACATTGAAATAAAAAAATTTATTACTCCTATAAATTCAGTTAAGATTTTACTTACCTATAGAATCTTGACGCAGTATAATTATCAAGATATTTTAAGTTGCGAAAAATGTTGGACCACATTTTTTCCAAAGAAAAATGGAGACTTTTGTGTGCATTCGAAAATATACACGATTATTCTATTTTGCATCAAAATTACAAGTAGAACGTAGATTAGATAGATTGTTAATGCAAATGAGTTCGATAATTACTTGCGTATACGAACGTGCGAGTAATTATTGCGCTTATCAGATGACGGAAAACGGCATGGTCATGCTCAAGGTCATTTAATTTTGTTCTCGACAGAGTTTTATGCATTATTACAGGGAAATCATATAAATAGCATTTCTTCTTAATAATGTATCGTTGTTTATCGAATTTTTTGTGTTCATTCCAATAATCAAATTTACTGAATTAGATTTTCGTAAATAAAAACGAAAATATTTCAGAAATTTATATTATATCGAAGATAGATTCCATAGCGTGTCTCCAACAAGATTTCAATCAATCTCTCGTATATTTGATGCTGAACTTTCATCTGTATTTATCGCTTCGATCATGATATTAATAAACTCCTGCTTACTTAAATTAGGAGCGCAACATATCCGTGTTTGCGTGCCGAAGCTGATCGGGATCTTTATCGTCTCTTGGGCGTTTGTTTCCGGCTCTGGTTGTTCATCTTCGCTTCGCTCGAGGAACTCGCCTAAGTTACTGCATCACATGTTCAAAGCTAAATAAATCGCTATCTAATGTAAATAATAAACATGCATAGAATACAAGTAAACTATAAAATTAATATATGTATGTTAAATTTTTGCGATAAATTGATACGATAATTGTATTCATTTATACTATTCTGTTCAACACACGCACACATATACACACAATTTGAATTTATCTTACATAATTTTTAAAACAAATTCGTTTTTTCTTGATGCAATATTATAGCGAGATTATCATTATATAGCGAATCAATATTAAATTGAATTAAAGCGAGATTATCATTATATAGCGAATCAATATTAAATTGAATAATCGCGGTAATATTTTAATTTATACAATATATACAAGTTTATCATTTTATGTAATCTATTATGACATTAATATATTGAATCTTGAAGATTCAACACGCAATGTCAAATTTTTCATAATATTTAAATTATGCGATGATATCGTCACTCTTATGCCAAAACGATGAATGTGCAATATTTTCTGCCATAATCACCAATGTGTAATATTTATAAATATCAACGGTACATAATACTAATTTAACATAATGTAAATATTATCAATAGTGTTTGAATTAATTGTAAGAATTACAAGGATAAAACAAGAATCTGATCTTTCGGAACAAATTAAATTTTCAAATTGCAATAACAGAACTACAAAATTGTACATTCGCGGTTCTAGGATAAGGACGACGATATATATACCTCTTTAACATTTGCGTCAATCTACTTGCGCGATTTTTTCTGCTATGTTTGATATATTCGAAATATACAAATTGAGTTATAATGCACGGGGTTAAAATCATGACATTTACATGACAATCGCGCGAATTCAATGCGCAGGCTCGCAATTCGTTAATAATACATACATACATATATACATACATATTTTGCACAGACAATAGACATATATTATTTTTTTTTTATAAAAAAAAATAACAGCGATGTGACAGATTATATTCTGTCCCATTGTAAATGGCTGCCTGTCACATCACTGTTAGCAATCTAGGTATAATATATAGAAGTCTGTGATATTTTGTTATTCTAATGTACGGATATGTATATATACCGAAGCGAAGAGGAATGTTATCTTCAGTTTCGAGTCTTCTTGAGTTCTGATAAGGTTTAAGTTTAATAAAATATAAGACGCAAAAGTTATAAAATTCTTTAAAAGGGGTTTTCTTTTCATTATTTTTTTATTAAATTTTTTTTTCTCGCGTATAATTTATCGTAACATTTTATTTACTCGCATATGATAATATCATTATCGTTGCCTGCTATTTGTTGCAATTACGAAGATTTGTTAATTTTTTTAGAACAATGGAATCTACAGTACGGATGGCTCATTACGCGACAAAACCGATATTTACAAACAAGGACGAAACTCGCGAATTGATGGCCATATGGCCAGATATTGTTCGTGATATTACGGATTCTATAGAAATCCCAGAGGTTTCCAAATGGATAGCAAAAGTAAGTGTGTGTAATATATACGTATATATATACAGGATGTTAAAAAAAAACCATTCAATATTTATATGATAAATAGGACACATCATACTGAATAAAAAAACCTTATTGTTAGTAAACATAGGTCGAAAGCTCAACCATTTCCGAGATATAAACATTTTTGTATGTTAGCATTATGATTGACTTACTGGCGTTCTACGTACTTTTTTTACTCAGTATGCTATGTCCTATCTACCATATAAATATTGAATGTTTTTTTTTTAAGACCCTGTATGATGTGTATACAATATAATATAAAATTACAAAATTATAAAAATTTTTAATGAGGCTTTATTCTAATAACGAAGTATATTAGTTTATTAAAACTAGTTAAATATGGAAATTTAAGAATATTTAAAGAAGAAACATAATAAGCAAAATCAGTAAGATTGCGTATAAAAAATTCTAAGAAACTGCAATGTTAAGACCAGATACAAAGCAACAAATCAAAAATTCGAATGAATATGCAGATTAATACATTTCTGTTATTGTTCAGGTATTGCAGTATAATGTTCCAGGAGGAAAAAAAAATCGCGGTTTAGCATTAATTTATGCCTATAAATTACTGGCAACTAACGATCAACTTACGGAGGACAACATCCGCCTAGCACGAATTCTAGCATGGTGTGTGGAACTGGTGCGTGACTTTGTTCTCATTTATGTGACACTGATATGTCTCGTGTAAAATAATTATATTTAACTTCGAAATTAAGATGAGATATGAAAACACTTGTAAAAGCGGAAGATATATAAAAAATATTACAATAATTCATTTACTTAAAAAATGTCCATTAAAAGTATATATATATAGGGGGGGGGGGGGATTCACATTTGTTTTATAAGATTAGTGTAGTCTTAGCAATGCAAAAAAGTATTTTTAAGAATGTAATGTTTATGTGTGCAAGTTTTTTTTTATCAAACCTATAATTGACAATATTTAAATTATTCAATTATTTTTTATTTATGACGCGTATTTAAATCGTAATCTATTAATCTAGAATAGTACTAGATAATCTAAAAATTAAAAACATGAATATATTGCGATATATAATAATAATAAATATTCATGGCAGGTGCAAGCTTATTTTCTTTTGCTCGATGATATCCAGGATCGATCGTTATTTCGCCGAAATCAACCATGTTGGTATCGTCATAATAATATAGGTTTAGCGGCAATTAATGATGCTACATTGTTAAATAGTGCTATATATTTTCTGATTAAAAAACATTTCAAAGGGAAAGAATGCTATGTTGATATACTTGAAACATTTCATAACGTAAGTGAAAAGATGTCTTTTTTTTTTTTGATCATATATTAACATAAAAATGCTAATTTACCATTTTTTTCTTTTTAATCTTACATTATATTTATGAAAATGTTATTCGGCAGATGACACAGATGACATCATCGGGCCAGTCTTTAGATTTGCTCTCGACTAATTTTGGTAAAAAGCCAGATCTGGATTTATTTACAATGGATCGATACAATTCCATTGTCAAGTTTAAATGTTCGTATTATACATTCATCTTGCCAATAACCATAGCAATGCATTTTGTAAGTTTATTTGAGTTTCTCTATGCACGGTTTTATTTGTGCTCTTTGATGATAATAATGTATGTACTATGCGCAACATTATGTAGGCTGGAATAAAGGATCTGGAAATGTTAAGACAAACGAAAACGATTCTGTTTGAAATGGGACATTTCTTCCAAGTCCAAGACGATTATCTGGGTTGTTATGGGAAGCCTGAGGTCATTGGCAAGGATAATACTGATATACAAGAGGGGAAATGTACATGGTTGATTGTTGTGGCACTTCAACGTGCTGTACCAGAGCAACGTAAAATTTTAAAAGTGAGTGTTATTTCCTAAATGAATTGTATTATCAAATGTTGTTACATTAATGTTATGCACAGGAATGTTATGGAGTATCGGATCTAGAGAAAGAGCAATGTGTGAAACAACTATACAATGATCTGGGTTTGCCAAACACTTATTCCATATATGAAGAAGAGACATATAATCTATTAAACACCCATATACAGCAAATATCACGTGGTTTGCCACATGATCTTTTCTTGAAGCTACTGGATAACATTCATCGTAGAGTGTCGTGAAAGCATCACTTGTACATTGAAGAAAGAAACTAATGTGTATTCAGATTATAGAATTAAAGTCAATGAACAAGATGTGTTCTGCCAATGTCTGAGAACATCTATTTTATCTCTATTTTATTCGATATTCTAAATATCTCGTTAAATATTATTCCTAAGTGAGAAACATTAATTTTTTATAAAAACTTTATATACAATATCTTTTTTAACTCTGATTGAAACGACAATAAAAAATTGTTGAGGCATTTAATCATATCGTATTTCTTAATGATTTCCTTCTAATATACAAAATATGTATATTGGTATTTTTTAATAAAATATTCGTTCTTTATAAAATAATCACTGCATATATATAAATTTTTTTATATATATTACCTACACATCTTATAATTATCAATCTATCCAGAGTTTGTTTCTGAATGCTTTTATATCAATGTTAAATGCTTTTATATCAATATTAATAGAGAGTTCAAAGAAAAATTTTCATTTTTTAGATCTTTTAATTTTTCTTTTCTTATTCCACGGCTGATGTTTCCTTTCGTTTGTACGAATTTTCGTACGTACAATCATTTTCAACTCGCGTCTCAAATTCTTAAATTCATCATTTGAAGTAGCTTCTATATTGAAGAATTTTACAGCCTCTGAAAATGCATCTTTACATCATCTATAGCATAAATAATACTTTAATTTTAGGATTTTTCATACACATACCATTAAATCGTATATCTTCATTATCAAGAAATAGAGTATTTTTATACTCAAACGAGCTATTTGTACAAGTATTTTTTTCAACATCATCAGCCATCTGTTTATCTGTATTTAGTGTTTCATGTACATCATCATCAACATCATCAGATGAATCATATTTAAATGCATTAGTCGCACTAAAATTAAGCTTAAATTTTTTAGCTTTATTATTTTCCGCAATAGATACACTATAATCTTCAGCATTTCCTGAAAATGTATATATTGAAATAAGAAATTATGAAACGGTGTAAAATAATATGAAATAGTATATAGACTAAAAAATGTATTTATACTATTTTTTGAAAAAGTACCCGTATCATTTTCTTCTTTCCTATATGCTTTTAATAAACTAAATTCTCCTTTCTGTTTTAAACTTTCTGTCAAGGTGTCTGATACAGCGTAATATATATTCTTTGATACTTTTGGTTCTGGAGGTGCAGGTTCCATTTCTAATATAGATTTGTCATGTTTCTTCTTTTTAATATTTTTTTCTTTAATTTTTGACTGCACAGATTTCACTTCATAGTCACAGTGTCCATTTTCAGTTGGATCATATCGTATCATCAATTTCTTTCTATAAATATGTTATCATTAAATATCCAATTAGATAATTATAAATTATTAGGTTTTGCTAATCTAAATATCCTTACTTAGCTGTTTTTAGTTCCTGATCTTTTACTGTGTGTGTAAGAGGTTTTCCTAAAATATTTTCTAAAATATCTAATTGCCGCTCCTTCTCCTTCTCCAAATCATATTCATTGATGTCTTCAACAAGTTCAGTGTTTTCAGTCTGATGATCATTTTTCGCAAAACGATCATCTAAAGTAAATCGTGCATCATTGCCAAGAATGGTCTGTAATAAATACAAACTGTATTAGTATCTTTAATTTAAGAGAAATAATATATGAGTAATAATATATTTAAGAGAAATAATATATATATTGCAAGATCTCAAACACTAACCTTTTTATGTTTAGTTTCCTTGATACTGAATTTATCTTTATTCCACAGAGAATCTTCTTCATTATCTCTCTCATTATCACTATCATTATCAAATAAATCTCTTTTCTTTCTTTTTGGCTTGGGACTTTGCTGTTCATCAATATCATTATCAAATATAATTTTCTTACATTTTGTAGTATTATCCTGCAAAAATAAAAATTATAAGTATAATTAAGAATGAAACATGTCAGATTTTTTTAAGACACAATAGAGAATTACAATGAATAGACACTCTACTTACTAAGTTTCTTAATGCTTGCTGAATAAACTGGCCTTTCACTTTAAACGCCTGTTTCTTTTCCTTCAACGATTGCAAACGTTTTTTTTCAGATTCAGTAATCATACTCATTTTTAAAACTTACAAAGAAATAATGATAAAGCTAGAAAATAAACACAACAATTTCCATTAGCTATAATTATCACCAAAAATTGATAGTTATGCGGGATATAGATTTAACTTGTTCATTACTCGTTGATTTCATTGATTTGGTAAAATTATATAAAGAAAGGTTAAGGGTCGGCAGGAGTGACGGCCAAACTCCGAATTGATATTGGAGACCTCGCGACAGCTCATGGCCAACTGCACCTAATCCGCCATGAGCTGTACCAGAGCTGTACCTTATTTATCAATTTATGAAATATTATTTTAACTCTTTTTTCCAAAAAATCGCTCTGTAGAGCCAATCTTACGATCCTACTGATTACGAATATTGCTGTTAGAATTTAATTTTCTTTGTATTTTGGCCGTAATACGAAAAAAACGTATCCGTAGTTCACGTCTTCCCGCGAAAGGTCTCTACTGTCTCTCCTGCTGACCCTTAAGAGGATGCCGGATACCGACAGAATGCGAATATTAGTAGGATTGCAAAATATTTTTGTTGATTATAGATATCAACAAATCCTTTTCCATAATTAAGGTATACATAATAACGGAGTGCGGGGTTTATGATTTCATATGAAAAGTGAAAAAAAATTAAAAAATTACAGTTTTGTTATCGGCTTCTGCCGTCAACATTTACTTAATATAAAAAACCTGCAACCTGCACGTGCCTAACAAGTGAACTCCGCACTCGGCATTTTATCAAAGAGTATTAGTGAACTTCGAGAAGTGAGTTTAGAAGCTTTATAAAAAAGATTATATTATGCAACATTTTGCACACCGAAATGTTTCTCACTAGGCTTTCAAATACATTTTCAAACGTTCACTTATATTCCTTCATGCATTTCCGAGTGGAGAGGTATCCTATTTTGCACATACACACCGCAAAACCCTTATATTAAGCAAATATATAATTATTATGGCCGGTAAAACAAGACGGTCCGGCATCCTCTTAAAGGCTTTGATATCATAATCGTAAGGCCGTAAGCAAATCGACTAATCACAATCAAGCATTCTAAAGCGGGGAGCACACACTTTTGTATAAGCGCATAATCATAAGTATAAGAAATTTGATTGGTCAATTTCCTTATGCATAAGGAAATTGACCAATCAAATTTCTTATGCTTATGATTATGCGCTTATGCAAAAGTGTGTGTTCCCCGCTTATAAAGTAATAAGAATATTTAAACTGTGATTGGTTGATTTGCTTACGGCCTAAAGGCCGTATTACACTACGAGTTGCGGGCTCGGTTGCGGTTGATGATTACGGATTGACCAATCAGAACAAAGCAACTTGTCGGTTGATTGGTCAATCCGCAACTATCAACCGTAACCCCAACCGTAACCGAGCCGACAACCTGTAGTGTAATACGGCCTTTATGGTTATGACTAAAATTTTTTAACGTGCAATGGCCTTATATAAAGGCCATTCTAGTATATGTATACTAGAGCGATAATAAATTATAATTGAAGTATTTTTATGTATAATAAAAATATAAAATGAAATAAATTTTCTTAATAATTTTTTTACTAATTTTTAAATATAACGCGTGTAGAAGATATTTACAATAAATTGCTTTCACTTTTTTCTTATTCAAGAAATAAAAGTATTAAGCATTTTAAGCATTATCGATTCATGTTTATAATATTATTATAAAATATATGATATGTAGATGTTTTATTTTACCTTTACCAGATCACTATTTATATCTTACTGATAATGTAGAAATCTACATATATCTACAGTAGCGCGCAGCTTTTTTTTTATCTAGTCGTACCAACTCCCGTAAGGATCGTCGTCAATAAAGACGATTGTAAATGAATGGACGAAAATGGCGTCCGCCTTGGAGAACCTGGAAGCTCAACTAGAGCTTTTTATCGAAAATGTGCGGCAAATACGTATTATAGTAAGTGATTTTCAACCTCAAGGACAAAACGTACTGAATCAGAAGATGTGAGTATTTATATAATATGCATATCTTTGTATATTTGCGTGTGAAGACAGTGTTTTCATATGCTAATCTCGCAGTGTGCAACAGTAATGATATCAATCTTTTTAATTGCTATATATTATGATTCACACTTAGAACCGAAGCTATTTATATTCATGTGGCATTAAATTTTACTTAACATATTCACTTCTAACTTATTCATTTTCTGAATAATATGATATTAATTAAGTGTACATCATACCCATAAAAATTTTTTTTTTGTAGACAAGGTCTAGTTAATGGCTTACAGGAGATTGATAAACTAAAATCTCAGGTGCAAGATGTCCATGTGCCATTGGAAGTATTTGAGTAAGTTTGACAATATGTTAAAAGTGTTAAAATTATATATAAAGCTAAATTTTACTATTATATAAAAATGCTTATTTCAGTTACATTGACCAAGGAAGAAATCCTCAATTGTACACCAAAGACTGTATAGAGAAAGCTCTTACAAAGAATGAACAAGTGAAGGGAAAGATTGATGCTTATAGAAAATTCAAGGCGAATATGTTAGTGGAACTGAATCGAGTTTTTCCAAATGAATTGACCAAGTACAGAGCAATTCGCGGAGATGAATAAGATAATCTAGTTTTTATGGATCAGATTTTGACAACCAAATGGTTCTTTATACATGCTGCCACAAATGTAATTTGTGTTCTTATAACTTTTTTATGTTTCTTTAAAAAATGTGTTATCTAAATATATTCAATATTCTTTCCTTGTATATTATAGATGTAAATATATATGCAGTATTTTTTAAAGATTAAATAAGTTTACAAGCAATCCAAACGGCTAAAAGTTTTTATATTTTGCACTTCTGTGTGTGTGTGTGTGTGTGATGCAGTTAATCATATGTAATTAGACTGACACACAAATTATGTTGAATAGCATTACACTATATCATTTGTATCCAGACAATTGCATAACTGCAATATATATACAAAATTATTTTACAACCAATGGTATCAAGCGCAAATTACAAAAAACCACTTTAATTGATCTATAAATGTAAGAGAGTATATATTTAATAAATCAAAATCGAAATGAAAAAGCATTAAATTTATTTTGATTGCGATTTTAAAAGATGAAAAGGGAAGTAATAGAGAAAATTTTTGTTATCTCTCTTTCTCACGTATTTTATAATAATCTTATAATAAGATATAATAACGATAATTTAATATATATATATATATATATATATATATATATTTTTTATTGCGCGCACATCAAATACGCGACTCGTACGGTTACTAATGATAAGATATATTATTTTATAATTATCGTAATGGAATTGATGCAATACGTCAAGTGTGTTTAATGACCGGCACAATCATAAATTCTTCTTGCGTAATTCAAAATCTTGTACTCTGATATAAAATATATGAAATTATCGATAATATTTATGTTGTACAAATATTTTATCAACGAAAAACAGCTGAGTGAATATTTGCTTTCAATTATCTGTGCTACATATATATATTACGAGTAAAAGCAATGTAGTAATTTGGTAAACTAAAAAAGCGCTCTATCAGTGCATAAAAATATAGAATATAATAATTATAATAGTAATTTGGTAAATTAGAATATTTGTAGGTTCTGTATGTGTGGTTGCGCATGTTTTTTGATATGTCAAAATACGTGCGCAACGACAGTTACAAAACCTACAGCTATCGGTATAGCCGTGTACAGAATAGCGATCTATAAATTCTTGTTAATTTAGTTATTGTGAGAAATGGTAGGCTTAACGCACGGTGGGCACACACGGACACTGGCTTATTCTTCAGTGTACGTAGCCAATCCATTGCCACATTTATGCTAATGATGTATATATGTACCGCGCAGTGATGCCAGAATACAGACGCGACTTTACATAAGAAATAAAAATAGAGATAGTAAGATATAATCTAATAGATAGAATCTATTTAATAGATGGAGATAGTAAAAAAATAAGAATTTTAATAGAATTTTAAATAAATATAAGAATATAAATATTTAAAAAACTATTTTTATTTTCAAAAATTATTTTAAAAATACCTATGTTCTATTTCCTATTTTAAATAAATGTCTAAAAACCGATTTGCATTTTGCATTTTCAAATAGAAAAGTTCCAACTATTTTGCATTTTCTATTTTAAATGGGTTTGAATTTTGCATGTCTCTGATTATTTACAACGTTGCGAGAATAATTATAATTTTAATGACATTAATTTGAATTTTAACGACGGAAGAAACTGCAGAGTTGGAAAACTTGGCTTAAATTTAATAATATATATCACATGGTCCAAACGGTCCACACAAATTTTTGTGTTAATTTAATATAATATGGATATGTTAAATGATGCTACTAAAATATACTACGTTAATATCTCAACACAAAATGAGTGCATACTTTATAGTAATATGAAATAAAAATTTTGTGTAAAATCAACATATTTTTCTGTAAATTTTAATTATAAATCCTGTCATTAATAATATGGAATATATATACATATATATGTAATAGCTTTCCTGGCTATTAAGCGGTTATTTGAATTAACCGCAGAAAGTTAAGGATGCGTAGAAAGTCGGGAGATGCCGGGAATAAGGCTAACGGAAAGGATTGTTCTTGAGAATGATGGTCACCGGAAAATACTCCGTGGCTGGTAAATAACTTCAAATATGAATATATTCTACCAAATGCACTAACGGATACAAATCTCTTCGGGTCTAGTCTACGAACAGTCGTGTATTCGCGAACAAAACACCTTCTATGGAAAACGCTTAGCTATCGCTTAACGACTCGAAGGACAAACACCGAATGGCGTCCGCACGCGCTCCTCGCTTCTCTCACACCGCTCACACACACTCCGGCGCTGTAGTCGGCAAACAGCCAATCACACTTGCTGTTGCCGCTGCGCGCGCAACCTACAAAGCCTCTAACCCACCTACCATATAACACTAGGTAAGGTGTAACCTTACATATATATATAAAATTAAAAATATATGCACATTTTGTGTTATTTTTACACTTTTTTCAGTTGTTTTAATAATTTAACATTTGAGTTCAATTAACACAACAGCAACATGTTAAATTAACACATGAATATGTTAAATACTTAACATAAAAATTTTAACCGGCATATTTTTTAACAAGAAAATATAAATTTTCTAACAAAAACTGATTTTTATTACGAGAACTGATTATCTCAGTAGGTAGTTAATATTGTACAATATTTTCAAGATGATATTTTTCCGTAAAATTTCATAGAAAGCTTATCTACATATTGTACTTCCCTCTATTTTTTCAAACGATTATATTCATTACACGGCACAACGAAACGTAAGGATCGCAATGCGACTGTGATGTGCATGAATTTTTTTCGAACATTAGATATATCGAAGTTTCGCCCCACACTCGGCTTTTCCCCTACCCAAACACGCGGCATGAATGTAATCTTCGAGCGAAGGATAAAACCATTCTGCGGGCGACAATCGAGTCTTCGACGAGCAGTAGTGGGCAGTAGCTCGGTCACAACAGTAGGCTATCACTTTAAGCGGCATGTTTGCTCTGCTGATTGTCGTCTTCGCGCTTGGCAGTGCTAATCAGGCCGAGGAGTACACGTGAGTACCGAGCCAGAAATTGGAGAAATATCGTTCTAACTTCATCAAGAGAAAATGCATCGATTGTCGCATTGCTATTGTTCCGTATAAATACAAAGATTATTCTCGCGCATCCAACGTTGAATAACACTTGATACCAAAGATTAAAATCGGTATAATTTCAATAAATTGAGATTTTGGTGATTGCTCATCGATTTTTAATATTATGCGCTATTATTTCGCTATTTCCTCCGATCATCATCGTGTCTTCGCATGATAGGAACACGAATTGATTGTGCATACATTGTACATGCATTTTTAAAGCAATCAAGCAACAGCGCTCAGTCCAATCACATGAATGTTAGTTTTAGATAGAGAAAGGTAATTCACTTGATACATACGGTGAAAGCAACAGGTGGGTGGATTCATTGAGAAATAGACCGCATTGGTCGCCTCAAGGTCTTTCAGAAACGTTTGAAAGATGATTAAGTTTATTATTTTTTTTCCCGCCATTCTCAAGCCATTCTCGAATGCATATTCATAATCTGCATTTAGAAATTCTTTCACGGTAGTAGATGCCGTCATAACGATGAAATAAAATTTGCCATTCCTTTTCTCTTGACAATAGGAATTATTTTTGATGCTTGATAGAAAAATCGCGTAAATAAAATATACATTTATAATCTAATCTAAAGTATAATTTTCTATTCAGAAATTCTTAGGCAATGATGGCATATCATTAAAGGATGTAAATGTAATAAAATATAACTTGCTATGCTTGTTTTTAAATGAGAATTATTTCTTTGAATTTAAATAGAATTTTAGACATGAAATATTGTGATTTGATAATCAAATGTTATTTTACGTTATTTCTAAGTGAAAGAAAATATTTCTATTATAAAATAAATATTTTTTTGAAAAGAATGTGATAGTCGTTCTTAGTGCTTTAAAAATGATTAAATTATGCATAGTGGCATAGTCAGACACCGTTATACATTCCAATTCTTTCATGGATATAGTCTCGAGTTTTATTTTATGAATATCATATGATCAGAGCATTAACGCTATGTCGTATGTGATTTAAAATCCTTTATTAAAATCTTACGAAATTTAAATGTTTGTTTATTGCTATAAACGGTCTTTGTTTCTTTAAATATAGTTTAGTTGATATTAACAGATATTGATAGCGGAAAAGAAAATGTGATTGAGAAAATGATTAATCGTATTCTCTTGCAACTATATCTTGCATTACTTGATTATTGATATAAATAGAGAATCATATTTTTATTACATAAAAATACAATTAATATACACTTTCTCTATGTTTTTTTAAGCAACATATTATTAGGTTCTAGATATCATAATTTTCTATAAAATGCAAATTTTAACTTGCATTGCTATAAAATAATATATTTCGGTTATTTCATATAAACACACACACACACACACACACACACACACACACACACACACACACACACACACACACACTTAACTGATTAAATATATCAACAAGAAACGTTTGATATAAACGCCACATGTCAGACACGATAGCTTTTATTTTGCCCCTATTATCTTAAAAGATGATATTAGTCACTGTACTCATTATATGTATATGTAGACAAATTTTGCGATACAAAGCTATTTTATAGACATTTTGTTTAAAAATTAAATTATTATCAATATAAATGCTGCAAATCAAAGAACTAAAATTACGAGTAAATTATAAAGTCGATATTTATATATATAAAAATAACGAGAACAATCAATCGATTTAATAAAATTTATACAAAAAATAAGAGACTTTTTTCGCGCGATATTGAAACATCCGGCAAAGAGTTTTTCGATATTTTTTCTTCAAATCGCAGTTCTCCTTGGCACTATAAGTGCGATGGTGGTCTCTGCAAGAAAGTATTGATCACGGAACAGGATATCAATCCGCTCGCTCTTAGCGTATGCCAATTGTCCTGTGGTCAAGCTGGTACACTTTGGCCGAAACCGACGGGACATCTCTCCATCGGCAAGACCACGGTACCGCTTAACCTCGAGAACATTGTGCTGACCGGGATCTCCACGCATACGGTGGGTGGAAATCTTCTTCAGAGGAACGTGGGTCGTTTAAAGGAGGGCGCAAAGAGACTCAGCGGTTCCGTGACTCCGAATACGTGCAGCATAAAGCTAGTGATTCGCTTCAACGAGGGAATCAATCTCGACGATGTCAAGCTGACCTTGGATACCGACGAGAGCTATACTCTCCGAGTTGCTATGGTCGATGGACAGGTAAATTGTAACAAGAAAAGCAAGAAGCGAGCGTCGTATTGAATACATTTATTTTGGGTTCTCATTAAATCGTCGACCGATGTTTCTATGGATCGTTTGATTGTAATTTATGTACTGTCATATTTAGACTTCGAAAATAAAATTGTCTGTATTTCTTATACGAATAAAAGTTAAGATAAATGAGATTCAGGAAAAATAACGGCAAGTATGAACGTGCGCGGTGGCGTTAAAAGCTAAAATATTTATACTAAGATTTTATAGTTGGTTTAAATACTTTTCTATTATTTCAAGCATTATTGTTAATCTTATTTTCGTAACTGTCGTTGATGAAATAGATGTTTGAAGTTCAAAAACGAGTTTTCTATGCATATATCCGAGAGAGAAAAATATATTGTATATCACTGTTTTATTTCGTGCTGTGTTAAATTCCGCTAATGACCATGTGATCTTCTTAATATAATACGTCAGTGACGCGCTGACGCTGGAATTAAAATCATTAAAACTTTTCGCATGACTGACAGATTATATAATTTCCTGCACATTGTTATCGTTTCTATCTTTTGATCACTCAAAGCTTAAGAAAATGCTTGAAAAATGAAAACTTGTATATCCGTCTGCTTCTAATATACATCCATAATTAAAATGGATATTAAATTGTTAAAATAAATTTTAGGTGGAGGCTGACATCACAACAAACACATACTTTGGTGCTCGACATGCCATAGAGACCCTTAGCCAGCTGATTGTCTTCGATGATCTGCGCAATCAGATTCAAATAGCCAATGAAGTATACATCGTGGACGGTCCAAAGTATCCTTACCGCGGGATTCTTCTGGACACTAGTCGAAATTACATTGACAAAGAGACGATTCTGCGAACGATCGACGGCATGGCCATGTCTAAACTAAACACGTTCCATTGGCATATCACCGACTCCCACAGCTTTCCCTATGTCAGCAGAACATGGCCTGATTTTGCTAAGTACGGTAGTTATAAGCCAACCAAGATCTACACGCCCGAGATGATCAGGGAGATCGTCGACTATGCTCTGGTCCGCGGTGTCAGGATTCTGCCGGAGTTCGACGCACCTGCGCACGTCGGCGAAGGTTGGCAGTGGGTAAGTGATAACTTGTATATCAGTAGATTTTTCTAATGTGACTTCTGATAAATAGTAGATCTCTTATCTTAGTAGATCTATAATCTGACATATGATTTACTCTTTTATTTGAATCAGTTATCGCGAGAGACTTCTTCATTATTATGAAAAGGGTATTAGTAATAAATAAGTGTGAGAACATACATTATTAAGTTTATTACGACGTAAATGAAAATTTTCATGAGAAAGGATAAGATTTAGTTGAAACGTTTTATAACAAAAATTGTATCAATACAATTTTACTTCTAATAATTTGAGCCGATTGAAAATTTTATGCAATTCGATCAGCGAGTAACAAAAATGGTGTTTTTCTTGATGATGTAAAAAAAGATGTTTACGCATTACTCTTTTCTTGCAAATTGCATCAATTCTTCTTACTCGTTCGTATCTTAATGACTAATTGCCATCGCAGATTAAATAGTCTGTTTCAGAGTTAACATCTGTATCTGAGTAAATAATCGTTAATCAAAAAATGTCATGTATATTGTTCAAGCACAGATGTTGTTTAAAATAATCTTGAATTATTTTATTAAACATTCACACAATCAAATGCATACATTCAATATCATATATATAATAATAATATAGAGCAATGCATACATTAATTGTGTTTAATACAAAATCATAAAATAAAATAAAATGGCAACATATATATGTGTGTATGAAATAAATATATACAGTATATACATACATATACAAGACAAATATTCTATATGATATACAGGGTGTTTCCTAATAAGTGGAAAGTATTGTAGTTGTGGATTTAGGATACAAAAATAAGAAAAAAATTTATAGAAACATATGACCGAATTCATATAATCATAGGTCCGATATGACCTTATTTTCGAGTTATAGCCTGTTTTATTTTCCAATATTTCCAACTTCTCCGCATACAAAAGTCTAATTCTGATTGCATTACCATCGGAAAATCTATATATGAGATGCAGTTTGCTATTTCATTGTTTGACCAAGCCATAATTTTTACTTTAAATGTAGACTATTGCGTTAATAGCGCTAACGTACGATACGAATACTTTACTTTCACTGAGCACAAGATACGAACCATACCACTTATAATACAAATAACACGTGTATTTTTTATAGATTAGCAAGACTTCAAGTTCTTCAAATCTTGCAGATAAACAGCAAACCGAGAATCAAGTATGCTATCTTAACTCTGTTAGAAAATAAAATAGGCTGTAACTCGGAAATAAAGTCATATCGGACATATGTTTATATGAACTTTTTTTCTTATTTTTGTATCCTGAATCCGCCATTGCAATACTTCCCACTTATTAGGAAACACCCTGTATGACAGCCTAGAGATCATATCAAACATTTTAAATTGATTTACTACAAGAATTTTATGCGAAAGTATTTTGAGATGTACGTGTGTGTGGGAATTATTTCTAAAATTGATTTTAATTTTCTATTAAAAAAAGATGCATTTTTATTAAATATAATTTACTATTTTTCTCCATCTTTATACAAGGTTGGCGACAACACGACAGTTTGTTTCAAAGCCGAGCCTTGGAAGAACTATTGCGTGGAGCCGCCATGCGGTCAGCTGAATCCTACCAGCGAGAGGATGTACGAAGTCCTCGAGGGAATCTACAAAGATATGATAGAAGATTTCCGACAGCCGGACATCTTCCATATGGGCGGCGACGAAGTGAATATCAACTGCTGGAGATCCACGAATATCATCACCAACTGGATGCTAAAAAAGGGATGGGATCTTAGCGACAGCAGCTTCTACCTTCTGTGGGACTACTTCCAAGAGAGAGCTCTGGAGAAACTGAAGATCGCTAACGGTGGTAAGAATATCCCGGCCATCCTGTGGACCAGCGGGCTTACTAGCGAGGGGAATATTCATCATATCGATCCTAAGAAATATATGATCCAGATTTGGACGACTGGCGACGATCCGACTGTTGGGAGACTGCTGCGCAATGATTTTAAAGTTATTTTCTCAAACTACGATGCTCTATATCTTGACTGTGGGTGAGGAGAATTAATGGATTATAACGATGTATATTTTTTCTTTTTTGTAAGATTTTTTCGCAAAGAATTGAAGTCTTAAAATTTTTGATTGATGTATTGCACGATTTAAATAATCTTTAAATAAACTTAATTAATATATATATAATACGTAGATGCTACTTTGAAAAAATGAGCATTAAATAATTAATATACATATAATTATTTATATATACATATTATATGAATTATAATATATAATTATGGTTTATGTGTATTAAGTTTATTCTATAAAAATACAAATTAATTATTTTAAGAAATTAAACATTAATTTTTTTTTTTTTTTATAGATTTGCAGCTTGGGTAGGCGAGGGTGTCAACTGGTGCTCGCCGTATAAGGGCTGGCAGAAGATTTACGATAATTCTCCATTACAGATGGTTAAGAAACAAGGATATGGGAACAAGAAGCATCTTATTCTAGGTAAAATCACTGTTCAAACTTTATCAGCATTGCTATGAATTTGTATATTATGAGATAAAATGTTATATAAGATCGTATTGAATAATTATTATTTTCTATATGTTATGTGTAAAATGTGTAATATTATAATACTTGTAACAAGAAAAATTCATTTAAAAATATTATGTCAATATATAGATCAGATTTATCGAATATGAATTTACAACAAAATTTTTTATTTACTTTATAATATTAACATCGCAAGTAGTTGCAAATAACCGATGGTCTAATAGTATAATACGTACAGGTGGAGAGGCTGCACTTTGGACCGAACAGGCGGATAGCACATCCACCGACTCGAGATTGTGGCCAAGATCAGCCGCGATGGCCGAGAGATTGTGGAGTGAACCGGATTCTAGCTGGCATCACGCCGAGCAGAGGATGTTGAGGCAACGCGAGAGACTCGTCGAACGTGGAATCGACGCGGACAGCTTGGAACCCGAGTGGTGCTTGCAAAACCAAGGCTCGTGCTACGCATAAATTCTAGGCGGCGAAGATTTATATTTCTATGCACCTATATATACATATATTTCATGTTAAAATAAATCACTACAGCTATTTTGACCTTGTCATTTCGTTTCTTTCTTGTAAAAACTTGATTGACGTCGATGGTTCTGACCTGAATTTGATTTCGTGCTATCGATTGCAATCGATTGCGATGAAAACATAAATTACCGTGTAAAAGTAAAATTTTTATCAATGAAAAACATTTTTTTCTGAAATCTGGACTTTTCATCATTCAATGTATTCATATTTAAATATTAAAAACAGTTGAATAATTTATAAATTATATCATGAGGATTGACTCGCGATAATATTCTATGTGTATGTCAAATAGAATTCATATATCTTATTCTATAAGAATTAATGATAACGCTATAATTAGAACAAATTGTATCGTCGTATCTTTATTCATATAATTCACAACATCTTCGAACTGAAAGGCAATAAATGCCAGCCGTATAAAGCAATCTCGTACATCGATCATATACCAGAATGATTGATTGAGTTCTCGTTGTTTTTCTCGATAGAGAGATGAAATTGTGTGTTTGTCCAAAATCATCTGCGTATGTCGCAGCTGTCAAAATGAATTAATGATAAATATATAAGTGTATATATATATATATATGTATTTATGATTAATTCATTTTGACAGCTGCGATATATAATATATATATATATATATATGTATATATATATATATATATATGTATGTACATATAAATAATCTTTATTTGCAGGTACGGTGTAATATTGCTCATGATCATCGATTATAAATTGAAAATTGAATTGAGTTGACGCTGGAAATTTATTTGTAACGATTCTATGAAGTATCTTGCAAGATACGTGTATGAGAGATCATGTCTCATTCTTAATAATATAAAACTATTTTCAGAACACAATATAATTATTCTTTCGCCACTTCCTTTGTTCGATTAAGTGCAGGAAGAAAACATCGAGAGAATAAGAATCGCGAATATACATATTCGTATTCGTATCGTGTCGATTATTCATTTTTTAAACAACAGAGACGATATCAATATTCTTGGATATTGCAATTGATCCGATTATTATAGTAGATTTCTAACAAATATAACTTCTTTCATATTAGTTTTCCCCCTTTTTCACGCAAAGAGATAAAATCTTATTTACGAGTTAAACGAATAAACCTAACATCCATATTTCATATTAACAGACAGATTGTTAAAATTTGGGAATTGTTTGTTTTTATATCTTTTTCATATATTATACGCTCATTTGACCGTATAAGCAGAACTCTATTTTCTGCAATTTTGACATTTGTTCATGGAGATCGTAGTACCATGGAAAAAATCTTGCTCGTTCTCGCGAGCAATTAAATTTGATTTGAACGTTTCAACAATTTATGTGATTCACTTTAATAATTTTTCTCTTTGTCATCGAAGGGCGTTTTCACGAAGTACGTAATAAGAGTTCCCTTGCCCTTCACGTACGTCGGTCCTCGGCAAATGAGTTCGTATCCGGCATCGATGAGGATCTTGGCAGTGTCCTCGGTGACTTGAAGCTTATCCATCTCACCGCAACTGTCCATTCTCGAAGCCACATTTACTGTGTTTCCCCAAATATCGTACTGCGGCTTCTGAGCACCCACGACGCCCGCTATCACCGGGCCGTGATTTAAGCCTACGACAAAAGATATTTGATTGTTATTTATATTTTGCAAAGCCGAAGAGAGTTATTGATAAATTATATTGATAAATATAATTTAAAAATAAACATTCTCTAATTCTTTATGGATTGTTCGTTTCATTAAAAAAATTTTTCTTTTTCTCATTATGAAAAATGTAATAATAATATTTTAATGCTAATAAATTAATTGTTTTTTTGTTGCTATAATAATTTTCAATATACTTACCCATCCTCAATTTGAATCTCTGGAAAGAATCTCTATTGATCTGATCCAGGATCGTCATAAGCGCAATGGCAAACTCGACGAGAACGATTACGTTGTGATCTTGTTGCTTTAGTAAGTCCTGTATGAAATATATAATATGGATAATATTATTTTAAATTGTTCATCAAGGTATAAAAAAATAACAAAAAAATTTTTTATTTGTTATGCGCGTATAATTATTTTATACATTCGTGTGTGAATGTTTAATTTAAATGGCTTTTTTAAAATTTAGATTCAGATAAAAACAATAAATATATAAATTAATAATTATAAATCTTTATAAACGGATCAAAGATTTCATAAAAAGCTATATCAGTTCTGAGATTTTGATCTAGAACTCTTACCTTGCTATCACTGTCCTCCTTTCCCGGACTTAGGCCAGACGCCAGCATGTAAGTACTACCTATCGTCTTGATCTTTTCGATCCCTGAGAATTTCGGTTTGAGTAAGAGTTTGTCGAAATCGCAGATGATCTCATTGAGTAAACGCAGACATTCAAGGCCTTGCTTGTTTATGTCGGTCTCGTCGTAAAATTCCTTATAATTTGGAATCGACGCGAACATTACAGCAATACTGCTGTATCTCTCATGATAGAGCTCCTGTTAATTTAAGGCTGTGTGATAATTGTTCTTTATTCTAGCATCGCTATATACATTTATTATTAGGATCAGATGATAAATTACCTAATATAAGTCTGAGAAAACAATTTTGCTGGAAATAATGAACTGAATAATAATTAGTAGTGTGAAAATTATCCAGTCTTAATAAATAATTGTTAATTTGCCAAAAGTACAATTTATAATGAAAAGAGTAGATATGCGAGAAATATTATTAATAAATATGTAGAGAACGAAAAATAATTAATTTGTTTGTGTTTTTTTTTATTGGCATAAACATATTTTATTGTGGTATGTATGTGATATTTATAACAAAGTATGTAAATTCCAATATTTAAGGTGTATAAATGTATAAATTAACTCAATAAAACAATTTTCGATTAATCCAATGAATGATTCATGATAAAAAATAATATTAATTGTTTAGATATTACGATAAAAACAATAAAATAAAAGACAAAAGTTTTTCTAGAACTCACTTGAGTAGCCCTCGTGGCTAAAAAATGATCGGCTACGTGAGCCGGCAGTATGTTCTCCAGGAGAATCTTATTAATGCCCCTCATGGTTTCCACCTCATCCTGCTCGACTCTCAGCTTACTCTTCCACAAGATATCTGTTCTGGATGTGTATTCCACTTGCCGATCGAGAATGTGAAGTATGAGGCTGATGAGCGCCAGTAGATATCCTACTTGCATTAGATAATGAATGCCGTAAAACCTGCGGGAACGTTGCTCGCGATAACAGAGTGCTTTTCAGCGAGTTCGCAATTTATAATACACGTTACTCGAGTCTCGGGAGCGTCGTATCACTCACTTGGTATCAAAACTCTCATAATACAGCTGGATGATTGGTGCTTGAGAGAAGATTACGAGTATTATGACAATGGATAGAAGCATTACATTCAGCTTCAACAAGAAACCAACTCTCAAGTGGGTCCAACCAATCACCAACGCTATTGCCGAGGAATACACGTACAGCTGGAAATATTATCTATTGAGCAAAATACAGAAAGTAAGCATATAAGCGTGCTTTGAGATAGAATCTTATGTTAATAAAAAAGTAGATAAATAACGAGTAATGCAACTTTCAATTAGCAAATAATAAACAGAATCGTCTAAAAGTTTATAAAATTAATGGAACAAAAAATAATTTTTTTATGAGACAAACATATAAACAGATAATTAGTAAATAGACTTTAATTGAAAAGTGTGATTATAATAAATGCTATATATATATAAATTGTTGGAATGTTTTGTTACTTTCCCAACTTATTGTCAATAAAAAATACGATTTATTCATTAAATTTGTATTTGCAAATCTTTAATTTTCGATGTTAATATTAATGTGGTATTAATTATTAAACTTTAAATGTAATAAATTGTTTAGACGCGTAAAAGAATATTTAGTACGTGCTATAATTTTATCTTTTTTACTATTATATTTTACTATTTTATTATTTTTAGGCATACACACTGGCACGATATTTTTAGCAGACTGATCGACTTCGATCAGACTAATGACTGATGACGCGATAGCTAGTAGAGCCGTTATTAAGTACACCGTTATTCTGATACCACGGCTAAGTGCGATTCGACTTGTTTCTTCGCCATTGCTAGTGTCGATTTTTCCGCTGAACCACGAAATTGCGGCAAATATAATTAGAGATGCTAAACCAGCTGCAAAGCAACCATAAACCGCGATGCTTCTGTAAATAAAAGAGGAAGTTAAAGATTTTCAAAATATTTAGTAAACATATTTTTTTCATTTATTTAGATGCCATTTATATCGATAAGAGAATTCAACATATATAATTAATAGAGATAATTAATTTGATAATTTAGCATTATGTGTGAAAACTTGTCATTAAGGTTTAAGTTTGTTTAATTGAGTTAAATAAATAAAAGTAGATTACTTAAAACGAGTATTTTCAACAATATATTTATATAATAGTCTTGTTTTATTATATAGTTCCAAAAAAGTAAAAGTTGTTAAAAATATTATACAACTGACAATGTAATTTTATTTTGTAGAGGTTCACGGATATATTGGTTTTATAAGTTTTAACGTTATATCGTTAGGATAATATTTCCGTAAAGTTGACCCGAGTATTAAACATTCGATTAGTTTGTTACAGGAACTCGCCTTGGTAGATAAATAATCTGGATGCAGAACATGATCATGTAAACCACGTTGGAAGCCACGACGTACCAAGGATATTGCACATCCCTCTGTTCTCGATAAAGCTGCTCCTGATTTTTGTCTTTAAACCAATAAGTAAAAGGCGAAATCCCCTCGCTTCCACCGCACCATTGTCTACATAGTGCAGAAAATTATAAAAAAAAACGTTTCTATTTATTGCACAAGTTATATAATTGATTTAATTTTATTAACAGCATAATTCATCAAAATCGTAACAGCATAATTCGTCAAAATCATATCTCTATTTGAAAAGGATTATATTAAAGTACATCAATAATAGTTACACGTGTGCAACGCATAATGAAGAGAAGAGTGACATAATGCAGAGAAATAATTGTTATTTTGAAAATCATTAAATTTAGCCATCAATTTGAATCATTAAAATCAAAGTGTATTGTACGCGATATCAAATTAACGATCTTAATGTCTGTTGATTCGATATTGACATAAATCTATTAAAATATGTATAACTTACTGCGTGTCAAAGCAGCTAGCATTGTTCGCCAATAAATTCGATTCGATCATTGCGATACTCTGTCGAGGAAAAGAAGCGGCACATTTTTTAATTACTTTATTAAAACTATTTATACAAACAATAAATGAGACAGCTTACTGTTAGACCAATATTTTTCGCTAACGTTGCTTCCGCTATATTGGCGAAAGGTTTGTCCGCACCCCAACATTCCACATATTTTGTCATTTTGCTACTAGGTCTCGATCTATTATAAAATATATAATATATACACATATCACACATTAATCAATTTTAAATAAAATGTTAAATAATATTATAT